CTCCTCTGACGTGTGTTTACGTTTGGTGGGGGGGGGGTGATTCTCCCATCTGCAGCCCCTTCTCAAGGTTTCTTCTTTTTCCCCAGATGGTTTTTTGGGGGGGGGGGTTTCTTGCCCTCCTGGGAGTTCAGGTCAGGGAATGTCATGAATACTTGTCAACTGTGGCCATGTGAAGCCCACTGAGACTGTTTGCGATTACATGTCGAGTGCCAGAATTGACAGCGGGACCAGCGTCACCGAGTCTGTGTCTCTCCCAACGTAGGATCTCTGGTGCATCAATATCTCGCGATAGAGAGATGACAGCTCGCTTGAAAATCGCAACGGGTTCATTCAAAAAATGTCAGTCCACGTGGCTCATGAGACTTCCAACTTGAGCTTTTGATTAGATCCGCTGGAACGCAAACCCGTGTTGAGCCGCGGTATCTGTTTTACGTTCGAAAAATTTGAATTATTCTCATTTGGACTTTTAATTGTTCGACATTTCAATGCAGATGTTCAATATTCTTGAGAATTGAACGATAATTACTCCCTAAAAGGATGTACAGGACATTTGTTTCGCGTTGTAATTTCTGGGAAAATATATCATCAGGAAAAATGTGTTCTCGTGACAAGCCCGCTGGGAACGACTCCCGTTGTTCCACCTCTGATACCAGGGTCAGCTTTAAGCGCACCATCCGACGTCAATGTCCTACGTGAAGGACGATGAGCGGGTAAAAGCTGGAAAAATACTGGGTGACCGGTATTGCTTAAGCACAAGCAAGGGGACAAAACTTCTCCAAACCGGATGATTTCAAGATAGCCGTTCAGAAAGGATGAAAAGTGTCCCATAATTCTTGTTTCTGGGCTATCTTAAGCATAAACATTTTACGACACCGAGGCACTGTTTAAAAAAAATAATAAAAAAGCGGAATCTGTCTCCTTCTCTGACAGCACTTCCACTTCCTGCCATCAGACGGGAAACACAGCAGTCGTCGTAGTAGCGCCGTGCAGATTTGACACACGTGTGACTCGTGAGCGTTCCCCCCCGCCCCTTTCACCCGTGACTCCTTCACAATGGAAACTTTTTCGTGGCGGTGTGAAAAAAAAAAAAAAAAAGGAAAGAAAAAAAAAAAACACCTCCCCTCTGCTTCCTTTTATCAGTCACACTGCTGTAAACCAAAGTCGGCAGCTCGGCAGTCACGCTGGTCTTGACAGTCGGCAAACTAAAACTGCTCGCAGCTTCGCAGCGGCCTCTAAAAATACCGCCCGCCCAAACATGTGCCGCCGCCGCTGTTCCGAACTGAAAGCTTATGCATTACAGAGAGCATTTTGTCCCGCTAATCAACAAGCTTAGGGAGGCCTCGCGCCGCGGTCCCAACAGCGCGGCGCTCGGTGCATGTGAGCCGCGAACAATTTCGCTCGCCTAAAAAAAAAAAAGGGAGGGGGGGGGAGCTGGCATCGACAGGTTGCCAATGTGAGTGAAGGACAAAATGGCCGATGCTATCTCAGGTCAGAGAAATCCTGCCTCGGGGCGCAGGTCCCTCTCAGCCGGTTTTGTTTGACTTGCTCATACCTGGGGGGGCCACGCGATCCTGGTAGGTGGGCTTGTAGTTGCTCAGGGTGAGCAACATCACCTGAATGGTCCCCACGAAGATGGCCGCCAAGCATCCGTAGAAGATAACGTAGAACAAAAAGATTTTGACTGTGGACAAAAAAAGAGGGAGGAGAAGGACCGTTAACTTGAATTATTTGTTTGTCATGTCACACATGAAACATGATCACTTTTTTGGAAGTCCGAGCTACGATGTGGCAGGCAACGATAAAGAGTTTGACATCCCTGCTTTTACGACAATAAAATAAAAGCTGAAAACATGACACTCAATGCATTCAAACAAATTAAAAACCAGGCCGCCGGCTCGTGTGCCGCCAACTCGATCGCTCGCGCAAACGGCATTCTGGAAGCGGTACATACAAAGGCAGAGTGAGCAGGCTTCATTTGATGTTTTTTTTTTTTTTTTTCAACCCTGACACAAATTGCGATAGCTGACTTTGCACCTCAAAAAGGCGGGCGCGCACCGACATGCAAAGCGGAAGCTAGCAGAGTGCAAGCAAAAACAACATGCGGCAAGGAAGCACTTTTCTGCACACGTGTAAACATTTTTTTTTTTTTTTTTGGAAACGCCAGAAACTTGATTGCAACATATCGGCAATTCGGCGATGCAATTTTGGAGCTTGCGAATGATCAAAGGTCTGACTTGGAGCCAGTCACAAGAAGGGGTTATGCCAGGTCACCGCTGACAAACCTCCTTTCATCTCTGCATTCAATGACATTTGGTGCCGGCCTCTCCCAGAGATGTTATGCAGGTGTCATGTCCCAACTTTTAAACACATGACGGTACAGGAATAGGCACATGCTTAGACATCCGATTCCCGCGCATTTTGTGTGAATGACATCACACAACACTTGACTTTCGTGCAGTTGCTGTCTTCTCTAATATAAGTGATTCATTTCTGTATCTCGGTGACCTTTGTTTTCCATTGACGCTTCCGATTACTTCACTTTAAGTGGTCAACTCGCTTTGATCGTTTGGCTAGTTGTTCAAACACTGATTACATAACCGTCAATATTCAGGTTCAATTCAAAGTTCCGGTTTCTGAACTATTCGAAAGATCCCGTTTACGTGCCTGAATGGACAGTTACGACCGCCTTTAAATATCCCGATTAAAACGGCGACGCACGGACGGCGTGGCGCAAATTAAGACGTCATTTCCGCTCGCTACGTTCTACCCTTTAAATATCCCGATTAAAACGGCGACGCACGGACGTCGTGGCGCAAATTAAGACGTCATTTCCGCTCGTTACGTTCTACCGTCAACAAAAATATTCGAATCACGTCACTCAACGCAGTAACAAAGCGGTAGATTTCCTCCTCGCTGCGAGTTTGCTTTTGCGCTGCGTCTCTCTTGAGTCTCGCGCCATGAATGTTTACCTCTGCTTGTGTATTCCCAGCGTGTTCGGGCTTATACAAACACGCGTGTCGAAATACACACACACAGTGTCATTTTCGCCGTAGAGACGGAAAATAATGTGAATAGGCTGCAGAGAAAGATCAATGTACTCAAGTTGGGTGAGAAAGGGGAATGCCGCACATACTAAAAAGACTTCTGATTCCTTGCGAATCGTACAAGAGCATGCGCAGAAAAAAAAAAAATGCATTCCCCGTTTGGCAAGAGGTAACCCAATCTCATTTACATGACCCAATATCCGGGTGAGAAAACGGGTAACTCAGGGGTCTTATTCTGGTTTTTAAAAACCCGAATTTTTTTAAAAACCCGAATAAGAGCATCTTCTGAATTTTGTGTGGGTTCCCATGGCCTTCGAAAACCCGAATACGGCCAATATTCGTGTTTCCAAAGGGTTCTTGACTGCATGTAAACAAAGTCACGGTGTGATCTGAAAAGGAAGCGTGCGTGTGATACTTGTTAAAACATGACGTTCGAAAACCATTCCGTTCATAATCCAAGGTTGTCTGCACTTGGTCGTAACGGCAATCGTTCAATCCTTCATTGGTTGTTTGGCTGGTACGCTTTTAAAAGACCCGACGGCAAAATGCCGCCAACTGAGTTACATTAAAAATGCGTCGTATGGTGATGCGAGCTTTTCATCGGAAATCAACGTCGCGGTACACGAACGGTCCCTAAAGGAGCCGCCGTTTAACTTAAAGGACACAATGTGAAGAGGAGAGGAACATTCACGGGAGGGAGCGACCAGTCGTTGCGTGTCATTGTCAGCCTTATGATGAACTACAACCACAAAGGATCCCTTTCTCGTCTCGTGGCGGAAGCTTTGTGAGGGAACTATTGTGAGAGCGCCTCCTCTTCCATTCCTCTCGGGTTGCAAGAGAGGGGGGGCCCATTTAGGGAAGTACAGGATAAGTCACCGGTCATTCCAGACAGCCCCCTCCCCCCTACGCCCCTGCCATGTAGCCCACTGCCGCAACAGGTTTGACAGTGAAACACCGCTCAACTACCTCCCAACGCCGGTTTCACCGAATGACATGAAATTGGGCGCACATCTCATCTATTTTAGCGGGACGCACAAAAAAAAAGTCACGGACAACGTGCCGGAAATTGAAAAGTTATCCAGTTTAGGTTGAAGCAACTGTTTCAGGCGATTTTGAAATTCAACTCCAGAATTGGCCGAAACTCAACTCAGCAGTGCTTCCCAGGAAAGTACAAAATAAAAAACAACAATAATAATCATCATAATAAAGCTCAAGACACCACTTTCAATTCTGCGGAACTATGTAGCAAAACGACTTTTTTTTTTGCGCAAATGCTTTGGAGCCGTCAGAATTGGCCGAAACTCAACTCAGCAGTGCTTCCCAAGAAAGTACAAAAATAAAAAAATAAAAAAAATAATAATAATAAGCAGCTCAGGACACCACTTTCAATTCGGCGGAAGTATGTAGCAACACAGCTTTTTTTTTTTTTTTTTTGTGCAAATGCTTTGGAGCCGTTTTGGTGCCACGGAACTATGTTGAAGTCGAAGAGGAGCTTCATTTCGTTCGTCCAAATCTTTGATATCATCTTGTGCCAATGAACTATGTTCAAATGAGGGGAGAAGCTCCTGTTATTGTTGTGAGTCCAATCAATTCTCGAGACTCGGCGCCCGACCCTACGCAGAGGAAGATTTAAGTCTTGTGATGTATAACAAACATTATCCGGGTTTGATTTTTTTTAAAAAAAGGACACTCAAACACGACAAAGAGAATCAACATATGGACTGCATTAACCAGCTGTCCACCCATGGGTGTTTTGGAGGGAAAACGAACAAAACAGCAACCAGATTCTCAGGATCGAACAAATAAGTAAGAATCAATGCCAGAGACAGAAAGACAGAGACTTTATTCAAATTGAAAAATTCACTCAACCCAAATTATGTCTCCATTTTCATTTCAGTTTTTGAGATCTTGTTCGATAACAACTTACTCACTATCGGAAGTCCCATCTGTCACATTTGACAACCTTGGTTTCCTGTTGTATTTTCATTTCAGTTTTTGAGATCTTGTTCGATAACAACTCACTCTCGGAAGTCCCATCTGTCACATTTGACAAGCGTTTACACTGATTTATCCTCGCCTTGGTTTCCTGTTGCTATGTCAGCATTCCCGAGGCGTCTTTCTGTTGCCGGTTACAATGTAGGACCCCTGGGAACCAGTCTGACGGGTCGAGCGTAGCTTCAGCCGACAAGACCTCTCGCTCCCCCTTCAGCCACCTCGGCTGGTTTAATGTTGCCCGAGACGTTTCAAGTAACAGTAGCGTGCCGGCCGATTTTTTTGGCCTTCCGGCAGCAGAATCCATTTTAAGTTGCGCCCACGCGTGTCATCGAAAACTTTGGGCAATGTATACTTTCTCGTTGTCACAACGCTTCCTATTAGACCCACCCTGGACTTTTGTTTTTGTGATGAGCCACTGTAAGAATCTCAGCAGCTGTTCAGAAAAGGAAAACTTTTTTTTCTCATGTTACGTTTTACCGATGGGGTTCGTGCTCATTTGTAAGGCAAATGAGCATTTTCCTCACGGTCGCAGGTGAATGAGGCGTGCCGGGACTAGCAATGGCAGCACAAAAGTCTTTTGCTCTGTACACGTCCATTGAAAAGTAGTTCTTGAAATTTGTGATTGCAGTCCAGTGATTGCATCGGCCGTTATCGTGTTTTTTTTTTTTGTTTTTTTTTTAGGGCTGAAACTATCGACCGAATAGCAGTCCAGTGATTGCATCGGCCGTTATCGTGTTTTGTTTTTTTTTAGGGCTGAAACTATCCACCAAATGACTTGACTTGAATTCAGTCTAACGCTGTTAGTTCCAACGTATTGTCATTCAAGTTATTTAGCACACTGATAGGCACAGCAGCCGTGTGCTTTTAATTGCTTTATTGACAAAACGGTAACAATAAACATGTAATAAGCACATTATATGCACCAGCCGCCACAGCCACAACTGACACGACGGCATTCGCTCAACACTCAGACTGACAAAAACGGTTAGCCAGTTCATAGCCGGTCGCCAGCCCGAGCTAACAACAACCGAATATCGCTGACTCCCACGTCACTCACCGGGCCAGGCCCAACTTTTAAAACCTCCGAATATTCTAAAGTTACAAATGTTATAGTGTGGAATCGGTATGGTAATAATGCAGAATCAAGTATTATCCGATGACTGAATTCATTTATTAAGTGGTATTTGCTAAGTGTCTGTGAGCTAGTTCATGCAACAATCTCGGCGAGTTGTTATTTTGTCGCATTTTTGAAAACTTTTATCAAACAAGGCGGCGATCAACGCTGGAAAACAATGTCACAACACACGTCCAACATTGACGTTTTTTTAAAAAAAATACTGCTCATCCAGGTTTATTATTTATTTATCAACTTCACGGATCATAGATAGGACACACTTTTGGTGTTGCATGTGCACAAGTCAGTGGTGGTTTAAACACAAAGCAACGTGAATGGCCATTGGTGTTTGTTTGACTTGCATGTTACATGACCTCTGTCTTTACAGATGCCCGTAACGCTCTCAGTTTCCAAGAGTCGCTGTCAGGTCAATCAATGCAAGGTTCGTTTACCATTTTTAAAATGAAAATGTGTCATTTTTGGAGTGCTAACTTTGAAAAAAAAAAATGCTCGCGTACCAGCGTCAAAACACCGATGCAACTTTTCTAAAATGGAGGACGTGAACATGCAATCACATAATCAAGGGCACACGGTTGCTGTTGCATGTGTGCAGCTCAAGATAATGAGGCTGACTTCTTACAGGAACTAAGCATTGCAGACACTCCCACAAGTTATCGACACAAACATATTCCCAAATATGAAATACATGCTTTTGATGGATTTGGTGTACAAACGATAGTGCCCATAGTGCTTTGCTTTCTTCGAGGGAGGAGCACTCTTAAAAATTATTTTCATTCGGACACGAGAGCTTGTCAAAATCCGAAAACTTGATTTTTACACGGGCGACAGCCCATGAGAGGTAAACACACACACACACTGCATGTGGTTGGGGATAGCCAGCTATTATCCAGCAGTTCAGGAACAGGCACAACAACCTGAAACAAGTCAATGGAAAGAGCCCCATCCCCCACCACACTGCAGCAGGAGCTTGTGGTGAACAAACCATCACCACATTCACACCGACCCCCCCCCCCACACACACACACACACACACACACACGCCTTTTTCACGGCCTTGCCCTCTCTCTCTGGTGCGTTCACGGACACTCTGGTCATGTTGAAGTAGCTGCCGTCTTTGAAATCACCACTCAAACGCATAAATACAACCACATGCAGTAGGACGACTTTGTGTCATGTTAGCCGCGTCGGTTGGCTCGAGCTCCTCCCGTGGTGCGTTCACTGACAAACCTGTTGCTTTATATTTTGACAACAAAGTGACCGCCTTTCGGTGACAGCCAGACACGGCGGATTCGTTAATTAGCTAGCTGGTCGTTTGCGATTAAAGGGAACGTGGGGTTCAATGTTGCGGATGAATACAGAACAAAAGTCAAGTTTCCTCTTTTCGGGAAAATAGAATCTCGTGTGTTGCGGCGGAGGAAGAGGAGAAACAATGGGGGGCGGGGAGGGGGGGAGACGACCCTTGAGACATGTGAGTCGTGATCAGTTCGACAGTACCGGAATCGACGCACTCAGATGTGATTAACATGTAATTCGGATGGCTTTTTTTTTTTAGTCAAATGGGGCGGGGGTCTGAATCCGCATCACGTGTTTGTTAGTCAACCACGTCAAGCTTGATGAGGCAAACACTGACCGGAATGCTAACTATTCACGGTGGAAAAAGTGTCCATTTTTTTTCTTTCGTGGAAAAACAAACCAAGTGGCCCCAAAGAAGCCACTTAAGCTAAAAACAGCAAACGAATGAACTACTTTGTCGACCAGATGCCGGAGAAGTGATTATGGGCTACCCGTTGATCGCAACTTTCACCACCGGCACGAGTGAAAAGTCGTGGCCCGACATACATAGGCTGTCCTTCAGGGGTGACCTTTTTTTAAATTAACGCCCCCACCACAAGTACGAACGAGTAAGCCTTTATTAGCCGTCTTATTTCCTTTATTACCCGTCAGCCCAAACGTAGTAGACGATCTGACGTTAAATGAATGGATTTTCGCTCAAATTATGGATTCTGGTCATAGTACATTACAATCGGTTTACTTTCAAGTCCTCTCCCTCATTTTGTTCTCTTTTCGCGCCCAAGCTGCCCATTTTCGTCGATTTCCCCAAATCAAAATGACGGCGCAACTTCCAAGTGGTGGAAGGAAAAAAAAAAACCTCCGACAAGTCACGACGCAGCCTTGTCAGCGGCGCAGAGCTCGAACAGGTGCTGCCAGCTTGCCTTACCCAGCAAGCAGCCTTCTTGTCGCCAGAAAATAGAGGAAGGTGGCGAGAACAAGCCGCGTCGTGACATTCAACAGTTAGTAAAAAAAAAAAAATGGAAGGCTTACACCAACTGCCGCCGGTTCTCCCCAGAAACTCCTTCTTCTCGGAATTCCACACAAAGCTCCTCCAGCCGCCGTCGGTGTCCTTATTCCCCGACATGTTATAGAAGTCCCCTTGCGCGCACACCGGTAAGCTCCAACTTTTTGGGGCTTCTTTTTTTTGATGTTAAAAAGCCCACGACCACTAGGGAGTGTTTTGCGGAGGAGACGACTGCTGCGCCTCACCGGAAACACGAAAAGGGCACTTTGTAAGCCCGCACCGACGCTTGAATCTCACTCTTTTTTCTCTCTCTCTCTCTCTCTCTCTCTCTCTCTCTCTCTCTCTCTCTCTCTCTCTCTCTCCCCCCCACTCCCTCTCACGGTGTAACGACTCCGCCCGCAAACTCCCGCAATAAGTTCCACTGCTAGAGGGAGGAAGAGGTGGGCAAGAAAGGGGGGGGGGGGGAACGAGCCAGTCATAGTGGCTCGCTGCTGTACGACGTCATGATAAAGGCAGTGCCGAGGAGGAGGGGGGGTTCACATGGGAGGGGAAAAAATGTCGCGCAGTTGCCACGAGCAGTAAGACAAAATGGGCCAGGTGCCATAGCACCCCCCCCCCCCCCACACACACACACACACACACACACACGTTCCTCTCACTCTCTCTTAACTAATGGCGGTTGGTGACGTCACTCCTTGCCAGAACTCAACGTGGGTGCTAATTTGATGCCAATTGGAGGGACAATTTGACCACAACTGTAGTGGAGATTTATTGGGGAACATGAAAGCAAAATGGTGGCTGACTAACCACTTCGGGCAGTTCTTCTCAGAGGGCCACTTTGAAAAATCAAATCCCCTTACCTTTACAGATTTACAGATAAATACCCCGTGTAAAGTGAATTTAGAGATTTGTTTCTGAAGACATAATACAGGACATGTTTGAAGATAGAATGTTTCAGTTTTTCTTATTTTACTTGATCATGGGTAAATTGGCACACGGTAACATGCATCAGAGGTTATCTGGTTCAATTGCAACATGCAGTTAGCTAGCTAATTAGCTACCCTTCGGATAGTCCAGTGACTTGAGAGCGCCTCGTTGTCAGTGCGCACACATCACAGAGAAAGATGGAGGAGTGAAGAAGGGGTAAATTTTAGGCCTGTTAGTAATGATGTATTTTTATTTTTTTATACTGTCAATTATATTTTGGATTAATTGAAGATTTAGACCCCAAAACTTTTTAATTTCCTTTGTTCAAACAGGACCTTTTGAAATTGACAGTGCAGAAAATGCACAAAAATGGATTACCATGATTATGTTTTGGTTAATGGTTTGGTCTGTAACATGTCAGAAAATGGGCAAAAAAGATGATCCTTGTGGAGTAACGGCAGATGTTTGCAAATATTTATTATTTTGATGAAACACAAAACTAATCAGTTTGCTTTCATGGATGACCACAAATCTGAGAATTTTTACTGTTTAAAGGCTAAAATTCCAGGAATTGCAACAATTTTAAGTTAAACAAGTTATGTAAACTGTTGCAGCTCCAGAATTATTTTTTTCCCTTACTTGACAGGGGTTTTATGATGGCTGTCATGGCCACTTAAAAGCGTCCCATTTTAACTGCATGGAAAAGCACATGTTCACTTTGTAATGCTCATTACCACCACCTGCAGGCCTGGAGAGGAAAAACATCATCCTCAAGTTATAACTGAGGTAAATGTTTTTTTAAACCGTTAACTGATCAACAGCCTAATATGGTTTGTGCATTTTCCAGAATACTCGGTTGTTTTTGTGCTCTATTTTGCTGACATACCAGATTTATGTTTTTATCCGTGTGCCGGCTTAAATTAAAACTACTTAAATGAGTTCCAGAAATTTTATGACGCGAGGTGCCTTGGGCCCAAGAACCAAAACAATTTTGCAACTCTGGTGCGGGTCTGGGTTAAGGTGCGTGTCAGGGAATTTGTTTTCACTTTTCGTTGACCTCTCTGAGTGAGTCTTTATGGTGGAATTAGTGTAGTCTTTTTCATTTTAACAGTTAAACCTCTGGCTCACTACAAATTCTGTTCACAGCCTTTGTGTCCACTCGGCAGTAAGTTTCCACCTCCAACGTGTGTGTGTGTGTGTGTGTGTGTGTGTGTGTGTGTGTGTGTGTGTGTGTGTGTGTGTGTGCGTGTGCGTGTGTGTGTGTGTGTGTGTGTGTGAGTGTGAGTGTGGAATATTGAGCTGGGATTTGGCTACCGAACAATTGAGAATCACTCTCCAAGCTCTTCAAATCAGATTTATAATGAGCACAGAGACGGGAGCAAAGGGAAGGTCTGATTTATGACCTGATTATCTTACAGCCTCAGCTGCTCTGACATGTAACTTCCATGCATACTGTGTCTGCATGGGTATAATAGAAATGGTTTGTAATTACATTTTGCTCTAATGCATTCATTTCAGTGACAACTGTAACCACAACTTTTGGCCCCGCCTTTTAAAGCCACATACACTCAAAGTCGGAGACATTGTAGTGCGGAGGATGGTGACCCCTAAGGCTACAATAATACCACCACCTGACACCCGCATTTAGGTTTTTTTTAAATAATGTAATTACAGTCGAACAGTCGAACCTCGTTTCAACGTACCCCGTTGTGAAAAGGTCTTTGTTACAGCGAACCGTGGGAAACTAACTGCCACCGCGACCTTTCTCATCAACAAAATGTACAGCGCGGGATTCGCCTTCGTTGCTTAGCAATGCTACTGATCGACTCATACATCGTCGGACTTCTGGAGGCACGACGCGGTCCTGAGCACATGGTCTCAATACATGTGTGGTAAATGGAAGCAAATCTCGCTGTCTGTGAAGATTGAAATTGTCCCTCGCTTCCAAAAGGGAGTCTCCCAGCCAAAGCTCAGCCGAGACTATGTATTGTCCAAGTCAACGATTTGGACAATATTCCCTAATGAGTTCGAGGCCAACAGATTGAAAGATGATCGTAAACGGCTTCGGGGAGCAACACTTATTTGTGATTGACATGTTTATACTGTATTACATGTTCATGTTTTGACATTGATAAATGTTCATACTGAACATACACATCGTAGTTGGCGTCCGTTTTATTGGAAATGGTGACAACAAACTACCGTTATAACGTAAAAATTCTTTATTGCCTTGAGGTATGTTGTAACGAGGTTTGACTGGACCTTTTTATCCAATTACTCCATTCATGAATGGGATAATCTGAGGAATAATTGGCTCTGGAAATAGACTAAACTGACGGTTCAAATTCAACCCATTCTGTGTATGTGGTGTTTATACAAAGGTGCTACATGTCAAGCAAACACGGGCCTGTCAGTCATGCCTTGAGCAAACCATATTGCTAATGTGTTGTGATGGCGTACGTATGTTATTGTAGTCACCTCATGGTTGACTTTGTGGACTGTTGTGGTTGAACCAGAACAGCCATTAAACTACTCATTTACACAGAGAACAAAACTGGGGATATAGACCGCTGCATGCAGTCCTGCCTGGATGCAGTAGCCAGTCATATTGCGGCAAAACTGGGGATATAGACCGCTGCATGCAGTCCTGCCATTCATATTGCGGCGGAGCGTCTTCTGCCTTGAACCGCAGTGGGATTCATAACACCTCAAATTCTACTAACACGGTACAAATACGAGTCGTTTCATGCCAAGGATAAAGAATATATGAACGTCAGCACTGTTATATTGCCGGTGTACATGTTTTTGCCGCACCGTTTTCCACCATACCGTAGATGCTAATTAGCATTAGCATTGAGATAGCGCACTGAAAGTCTCAGCCTATGGTTGTTTTAAAAACGCAACGCGTCGTTATCTTATTTTCTCTGTCTAGTTTGATAATCAACTTCAACTCGGAGTGGCATTTGAAAAAAACAAAACTTTTCACTCTTGTAAAGTGAGGAGAGTTGAGTTCACAGACACCACACAAGTCAAAACAAAGCATTTGGCCAAACGACAGCACCAATGTGTGACACGATACGCCAATATACCTCGTGTACTCTTGTTTAATAGTTAAAAAAAGAAAACAACATTTGACTTCTGCGTGAATGGCAATCCACGGGGTCTGTCTTCATTCCATCCAGAAAGTAAACAATATACTGTAATGCACTTCTTCGTTTGCAATGCAATTTTTATGTGGCGATAGCACAGCAGGCCCTCCATGTTTGCACAGATCAAGGCTTAGCCAAGATTCCCAGGAGGTGCGGCATTCTGAGATGGCCTGTGGACGGAATCTGGTATGCTGGGAGCCAGCTTGACTTGAACTTGTTAACAATAGTGTGTCTATGCAGGCGGCCCACCGGGAGTAGGGGGAGATTGAAGACAGAACCCGGATTGAGTCCCCCAAAAAGTTGTAGTTGTAATCCGTTTTTTTTTTTTTTTTTACAGGAAGGTTATCCATTGCCATTAAAAAAGCTTTCTTCGATAGACGGGCGATGTTTAAAGTAAAACGATTCAGCCTATGAGGAGGAAACCCGCAGTACCTGGAGAAATCCCACGCTGGCACGGGGTACAACATGCAAATTCCACACAGGAAGACTAGAGCCTGAAATCAAACCCTGGACCTCTGCACTGTCAGGTAGACGTGCGAACCATTCGCCCACCGTGCCGTTCAATACAACTAAAATAAAACAAAAATAACCTCAACTCACAACTCAACCTTTGACAACCAGATAAAGATGTGAGCCACTACTAAGAAATCAAACGACAATCAAGTCAAACTAATTACCCTTTGAAGATGCCTGAATGACACGTCACCGAGTTACATAACTCCAAATGAAACTTAAAGTTAGATACCCCACCCTGTACGTCAAACTATTTCATGCACATTACAGTTTGTTTGGTTGGGTTTTTTTTCCCAGGCATTATTTGTTGTACATGACCGGTTGCATATCGTATCCACACAGTTACTTCTGCACTCATTTTTGTTGTAAAACCTGTTAAGTGAATTTACATAAGCATCCACTTTGTAAACGATGAGAACACCTGATGCGAGTTGAAGCTATACATCAGAGAATGCTCTGCAAACCTTGCACAGTGTGGGGAGGCCTTGCTTATTCACCGCAGTCTGTTCTTAACATGTCACAGTTGTGTGTGTATGAACTTGAATGGCCTGCACACAATTCTGATCATCCGAACGCAAAGATCACGGGTGCCCAATACGTCGATCGTGATCGACTGGTAGCTCGCGGATTGGTCCCAAGTTCGCTAAAACATTTGTGTGTCTGTGTGCATGTTATGAATGCGATATATTTTTGTGTTAGTGCACACTGCACCTTTAGGATCCTATCAGTCTCACTTTCACAAAAAGTATTTAAAAAAATAAAACAAAATCAAAAAGCAGGTCACCTTTAACCTACGATG